TTGAAAGTATATATATATATATATATATATATATATATATATATATATATATATATTAATAATAATAATAATAAGTATGATTATTTTTTCTTTTAAATTTTCTATTATTACTACTTTGTCTTTATATCTAAAACTTTTTCAATTAATTCATATCTTTTAAGAAAATAGGTCAATATAATTAATAACATGAAATTATCAATAATTTTCTTAACATTTTCAAGTTAAATGTTTTTTCACTTAATTATTTCTCACTTAATTAATTAATATTTGGAAAGAAAATATTTATCACATGTATATTGTGTCTGTTGGGATAAATTTCTTAAGGCAAATAGAAATTTTCTATTAATCAATATTAAAAATTGTTGTCTCAGATTACAGAGTTAATGTTAATAACACATACCTATATCCATTGACGTTGATCAAAAGGTTGCAGCGGAATAATCTTTTGGTGCAATGATCTTTCTCAGCCAAATCACTAGATTCCTTAACAAGACTTGATGTTACTCTTCTGATGGGGAGACAGAGAGACGTGTATTTCTGATTTGGCATATTGGGGACCATGACCATTTTTACGATTTTAAACTTATTAGGGTTCCCATTAACCCCTAACGGGCCAAATCTGGTTTTTACTTATTTGGGCCCATATCAATTTTTCCTGTTGGTAGTCTAAAGGCTCACTAAAATTAGATCACTTTTATAGAGCTCAACTAAATGTAAATAACTAATATAAATACTACAAATAATATATGCAGCCCACAATAATTATTAGAAATAAAATTTCTAACAATCTCCCACTTGAGTTTCATATTCATTTAAGTATTTATATCACAAAATTCTTTAGGCACGCAACCGTATGCTATTTACTTTTAGACTCCCATTAAACAATCTGGTCCATCTCATACAACAACAGGGAACCACTACAGCTTTCATCATTATCTAATGTGACTAAACCACAATGATCACCATAATTGTATGCACTCAATGACATAGATCAAATATGGATAAGTGGCATGGAAATTACATGCAACGTGATCTCAATCATGTCTATTTCCAACTGGTCCAAACTTTATTCTTTATAGAGATCCATTCAAAACGCAACATATATATATTGCACACAAACAAGCTCAGAATAAAATTATGAACATCAACTTTATTTCTGTAGAAAATCCAAATAATACAAATATCTAGAAAAATTAAAAAATAAAGAAGACATAAAACATAAATGAGACTCCCACTAAACTAGGGTACTATAAGGGATTACACCTATATGAGCAGTGTGCTCATGAAAAACTTTAGGCACCAAACCCTTAATAAGTGGATCAACTAGCATAAAATTAGTCCCTATATGTTCTATAGAAATTTGCTTATTCTGAACTCTTTCCTTAACAACCAGAAACTTTATATCAATGAATTTTGACTTGGTTGTACTCCTATTGTTATTGGAATAAAGAACTGTAGAGTTATTATCACAATAGATTTT